CTTTCCCTACAACAACCAATGTAAAATGGCAGGGGCAGAGAGATAACTGCTATGGACACTCCTGTTCCAACGGGTGGAAAACAAGGTACACAGAAGTCACTGGTTCATAGCAATTCTGAAACACTTGAGTACAGGTTTGCAGATCCACATTCAAAGCCTGGGAATAACTCCCTATGGCTTTTGGTTCCATCCTCTGGGCTCTTGGTTTTATCCTCTAAGTCATCCCTTTTTTGTGAAAGGTAGATGTGTTTGCATCTAAATAGTTTTCTTAGTTTGCTTCCTGTTTGTAGAAATGTGGAGGTCCAAAGGCCCCTTTCCTTTTTGTGCTTTCTTTTAGCTCAAGCTGACAGTGTTTCTGACAATACAATTCTCTTAAAACAATTTTTGAATCCATTGTGAATTTTATTGGGTTTTAGTCTAGGAGACAAAAGTCATGTCAGCAAATCTCTTTTGTCTCTTTCTACCTTGGGCTTCTGCTGAAGGACAAAGACCTTAAGTTTCTTAGATGCCCTATTGTTTGAATGAGAGGACCTGTGAACCACAGTCTTAAAATCTTTTTGGTGTTTTTTTTTTTGAGACGGAGTCTCACCCTGCCACCCAGGCTGGAGTGCAATGGCGCAATCTCAGCTCACCATAACCTCTGCCTCCAGGATTCAAGTGATTTTCCTGCCTCAGCCTCCTGAGTAGCTGGGATTACAGGTACTTGCCACCACATCCAGCTAATTTTTTTGTATTTTTAGGGGAGATGAGGTTCCACCATGTTGGCCAGGCAGGTGATCTACCCCCCTCAGCCTCCCAAAGTGCTGGGATTACAGGTGTGAGCCACCGTGGCCAGCCTCTCTTAAAATCTTTAGAGGGCCTTTTGCCTGACTGAACGGTACTCTGAGGTACCAACTGTAAACACAACAGGTGTGGGGAGTGGAAACGTGGGGGAGGGAGGGTGGATTGGGGATATTTTCAAAAATAAAAGACATGGTCTCAGCACTCAGATATTTCATAATCTTTGGGGGGGATAAACTATATACATACATTTAAAAAGCACTGAAGAATTATAGGTCATATCCCTAATGAATATAGATGCAAAAATCCTCAACAAAATACTAGCATACTGACTTCAAAAATACATTAAAAGAATAATTCAGCATGATCAAGTGGGATTTATCCCTGGGATGCAAGGATGGTTCAACATATGGGAATCTACAAATGTGATACACCACATAAACAGAATGAAGGACAAACACCATACGATCATTTCAATAGATGCATAAAAAGCATCTGACAAAATTAAACATCCTTTCATGATGAAAATTCTCAACAAATTAGGTATAGAAGGAATGTACCTCAACACAATAAAGGTAATATATGACAAGCCTATAGCTAACATTCTCAACAGTGAAAAGTTGAAGGCATTTCCTTTAACATCAGGAACAAGAAAAGGATGCCCACTCTTACCATTGTTTTTTTCAACATAGCACTGGAAGTTCTAGTGAGAATAATTATGCAAGAGAGGGAAATAAAAGGCATCTTAACAGTAAAGTAAGCGTTGGAATTTTCTGTTTGTTGACAATATGATTTTACATATAGAAAACCCTAACGACTCCACCAAAAAACTGTTAGAATGAATTCAGTAAAGTTGCTGTACACAGTCAACACACAGAAATCAGCAGCATTTCTAGATGCTAAAAACAAACTATCCAAAGAAGAAATTAAGAAAATAATTCTACTTGCATTAGCAAAAACCGAAACTGAAACAAAAATGGTGTAAATTTAACCAACAAAGTGAAACATCTTTATACTGAAAACTACAAAACACTGATGAAAGAAATTGGAGAAAACACAAATAAATGAAAAGATGGCCCATGTTCTTGGATTGGAATAATTAATATAATTAAAATGCCCATGAGGCTGGGTGCGGTGGCTAATGCCTGTAATCCCAGCACTTTGGGAGGCCGAGGTGGGCAGATCATGAGGTCAGGAGTTCAAGGCAAGCCTAGCCAACATAGTGAAACCCTGTCTCTACTAAAAATACAAAAATTAGCCAGGCATGGTGTCACATGCCTGTAGTCCCAGCTACTTGGGAGGCTGAGGAAGGAGAATCGCTTGAACCTGGGAGGCGGAGATTGTGGTGAGCTAAGATTGCACCACTGCACTCCAGCCTGGGCAACAGAATGAGATTCTCTCCAAAAAAAAAAAAAAAAATCCCATGCTACTCAAAGTGATCTATAGATTCATTGCAATTTCTATCAACATTCCAGAGTTATTTTTCATGGAAGTAAAAAATCCTAAAGTTCATATGGAACCATAAAAGATCCCAAATAACCAATGCAATCTTGAGCAAAAAGAAGAAAGCTGAAGGCATCATGCTACCTGACTTTAAAATAAATGACAAAGTTGCAATAAGCAAAACAGCATGGTATTCCATAAAAACAGACACATTGGCCTATAATAGAACATGAGTCCAGAATTTACAGACTTGAATTTTGATAAGGAGGTAAGAACACACAATCGGGAAAGGAGTCTCTTTGATAAAAACTTTTGGGAAATGGTATATCTATGTGCAGAAGAATGAAATTTGGACCTTTATCTCACAACATATACAAAAGTAAAAATGGATTGAAGACTTACATGTAAGACTTGAACTACTAGAATAAAACATAGGGGGAAAGCTACTAGAAGAAAACATAGAAGAAAGCCACTAGAAAAAGATATAGGGGGAAAGCTCCACTACATTGGTCTGGGCATTTTTTTGGACATGACCTCAAAAACACAGGGAACAAAACAAAAAATAAACACATGGGATTACATGAAACTAAAAGCTTCTGCACATCAAAGGAAACAGTTAACAGAGTGAAAAGACAACCCACTGAATGGGAGAAAATATTTACAAATCATACATCTGATGAGGGGTTAATATCCAAGATATACAAGAAACTCAGTAGCAAGAAAGCAAATAATCTGAACAGACATTAAAAAAAAATTTTTTTGTAGAGATGACGCCTTACTATGTTGCCCAGGCTGGTCTCAAACTCTTGGGCTTAAGCAATCCTCCCACCTTGGCCTCCCAAAGTGCTGAGATTATAGGCACAAGCCACCATGCCCAGCCTGACACAGGCATTCTTAAAAGAAGACATAAAAATGGCCAACAGGTTTGTGAAAAAAAAATCACTATTATTAGGGAAATGCAAAATAAAATTACAGTATCACCTCACACCTGTTAGAATGGCTATTATCAAGCTGGATGTGGTGGCTCACACCTGTAATCCCAGCACTTTGGGGTGCTGAGGTGGGCGGATCACTTGAGAGCCAAGAGTTCCAGACCAGCCTGGCCAACATGGTGAAACCCCGTGTCTACTAAAAATACAGAAATTAGCCAAGTGTGGTGGCACATACTTGTAATCCCAGCTACTTGGGAGGCTGAGGCAGGAGGATCGCTTGAACCCACGAACAGAAGTTCCAGTGATCTGAGATTGCACTTCTGCACTCCATCCTGGGCAACAGAGCAAGACTTCATCTCAAAAAAAAAAAAAGTAGCTATTATCAAAATGCTGAAAAATAATAAGTGTTGGTGAGGAAGTGGAGAAAACTTGCACACTGTTGGTGTTATGTTATTGCAGCCATTATGGAAAACTATGTAGAGATTTCCCAAAAAATTAAAAATAGAACTACTATATGATCCAGTGATCCTATTTCTAGGCATATATCAAGTAACTGAAATCAGTATATCAAAGACATATTTGCACTTCCATGTTTATTTCAGTATTATGCACAATTGCTGAGATATGGAATCAACCTGTATGCATCAATGGATGAATAGATAAAGAAAATGTGGTATATATATATACAACGGATACTATTCAGCCTTAAAAAAGAAATTCTGTCATTTGTGACAACATGAATAAACCTGGAGGACATACTAAGTGAAATAAGCCAGGCACAGAAAGACAAATACCACATGATCTCACTTATATGCGGAATCTTAAAAAGTCAAACTCATAGAAGTAGCCAGTAAAACAGTAGTTAGAGGCTGGGAAGGGAGGGGGCGGGTAGGAGACTGAGGATGGGGAGATGCTGTTCAAAGGGTACAAGGTTCAGTCAGACAGAAGCAGTAAGTTTCTCAGATCTACTGCATAGTGTGGTGGCTATAGCTAATAACAATGTGTAGTATATCTCAAAATTGCTAAGAGTAATTTCAAATATCTCACCACAAAAAACATTAAATGAGGTGATGGGTATGTTAAGCTTGATTTAGTCATTCCATATTGTGTATATATATATTAAAATACCACATTGTGCCCCATTAAATATTTACAATTGTGATTTGTATATATAATAATAAAATCTCAAAATAAAAAAATTAAAGAATGCCTACAAAGCAAGGTTTAAGATCTAAATGAACACAGTATTAGCACGGAAGGGATTAAATATTGTAACATTTATTGAGCACTACGTATTTTTGAATTTCCACAACAATGGAAGAATGAGAAAATCGACACTCAGCGTATTTTACCCAACTGCATACAGTAAATACATAGGAAAAACAAACACACACAATAAAATCAAACTAACCAAAGTATCTCTTTCAAAAGGAAACGACAATCCCCTGAAAGGCAGCCCGAGACAAATTTCAGCAAAGCCATGGGACACATGGCCTTCGAGCTGCTGTTCATTATTGAGCAGCAGAAGCCAAGAAGGACGGAATGTTTTAGAAGAAAGGGCTCGGGGGTCGGGGGTGTTCAATGGATGAACGGAAGATAAAACTGAAGTGGGGTCAGACCATGGTGGGACAGCGCACTGGACAATGAACAGCGATTAGGGAAGAGTGACGAGCGGGTGGGAAGGACGGAGGGCGGAATCGAGGCCGGGGTTGCGGGAGGAAAGGGTGCGGACCGGAGTCCCCGCCGCTGGAGGGCAGCGCTGTTCCGCCCGCCTAGTGAGGTCACAGGCCCTTATGAGGTGGGGTAGGCGGGCGCGGCCGCAGCGCCTTCCAGTCGGCGCGGAGGCGGCGCTGAGGTCAGCCGCGCCCCACGGCCCCGGAGCCCCTGAGCGGTGGCGGTGGCCGTGTCAGCGACGTCTCCACGGCGGCCAGTGTCCCGGGCCCGTCCCGCTCGGGGTGCTCGGTGGGCGGAGCGTCGGGCTCGGTCAGGTGACTGCGGGGGCGGGGCCGCGCTGCGCGGGAGCCTGGGAAGGAGGAAGAGCTAGAGCGGCGCCGCCCGAGGGGCCTCAGGGGCTGACGGCTGGATCCCGCCAACCGCGGAGAGCGCTAGGGCTTCGAGCCAGGCGGGAGGGAGGGCAGCTCCGGGCCGATAGTGGGACCCTCAGGGGAGAGAGGTGGGGAAGGAAGGCAAGACTCGTGGAGGAGATGGGAGGGGAGGTGCAGGGTGGAGAATGCAGTGGGGTGCGAGGGATGAAGTAGAACAGTGTTGGGGCTGGGTTAAGGAAGGTTCCAGAAAGGAACAGTGAGGCGTGAGGGGACCGAGTGGGACAAAGGGGCAGAGTGAAGGGTGACTGGGACTGATCTGCCCACCTGCATACAGTAAATACATAGGAAAAACATAAACACAATAAAACCAAACCAACCAAAGTTGGTTCCTCAGAAATGGTGGCCGTTGTACGAGGTTGGCGGCCCGCGGGTTGGGTCACTTGCCTGCTCTTTCAGCGTGGGGCTGAGACCTTTATTAGGGCACCATTTCCATCGTGCGGGTCGTTACACGCCCGCTTTCTTCCCATAGAAGTTGCTGGCTTTACACGGGCAGGGCCTATGGGCAGCCTCCCCAGCGCGGGTTCTTGGTAGAGGAGGAGGTTCGTTAATGTTTGATGCACAGATATGAAAACGGAGTGACGAATGCTTGAACGTTCATGAATGGCAGTAGCCGGAATGGAGTTGTGTAAGCAGTTGGTATTAATGATGTGCAGTCCCTCTGGCCAGGGAAAAGCGAGTGAGTGGGGCGGCTTGTGAGGGAAATGTGGCACGAAAGAGGAAAGTACTTTGTGAAGGAATGTCATACAGAGTCACGCTTCAGTGAAGATTCCTTTGTTTTTCTCGTGTTCAGTGAAGATGCCTTTGTTTTTCTCATCTTAAACCCTCACAGCCCCATTTTCCCCTCAGCTACTACCTTATTTCTCTTAACAGCATAGCTCCTTGAAAGAGCTTACCCTACTGGCTGGGTTCAATTTCTTTACCCCGTTCTCTCTTGCACTCACTTCAAGAACATTGTCTTCTTACCACCCACCCCTAGATGGCTCCTTTCAAGGCTGTCAGTGTCCTCCGTGTTGTGAAACCTAGTGAACATTCAGTTCTGATCTCACCCACTTTTTTTTTTTTTTGAGACAAGGTCTCTCTCTGTCGCCCAGGTTGGAATGCAGTGGTGCAATCATAGTCCACTGCAGCTTCAAACTCCTGGGCTCAAAGGATCCTTCTGCCTCAGTCTTTGGAGTAGCTGGGACTAAGGTCTCCATGCCCAGCTAAATAAAAAAATTCCGTAGAGATGAGAATTTCGCTTACGCCCAGGCTGGTCTTGAACTCCTGGCCTTAAGCAGCCCTCCTGCCTAGACCACCCTATAGTGCTGGGATTACCTGCATAAGCCACCATGCACAGCCTGATTAGTCACTCTTGAAGTACCTTTCTTCACTTGGCATCCAGGAATCCAGACCTACCTGATTTTCCTCCTCATAGTAACCAGAGTGAGCCTTTCAGAAAGAATTTCAGATTATATCATCCTTCTCCCCAGAACTCTTCAATGCTTGTCAGTCCTTCAGAGTACAAGCCAAAGTTCTTACTGTCATCTAGGGGTCCTCCATGATCTGCCATCCTCTCTTAGCCTCTCTGATCTCTCCTGCTTCAGCCTCATGGGGCCTTCCCACTATTACTTGAACATTCTTTTTGCCTTAGGGCTTTTGTACTTACTTTTCTTTATGGCTGAAATGCTCTTCCCTAAGATATTAATCAGACCCGTTCTTCAGTTCCTGCAGGTCTGTACTCAAAAGTCTCCCTCTCAGTAAGGTGTTCCTTGGACACTTTTTCTGTTCCCTGCATCTCCTCCCCATACTACGTTTCATATTCCCCTCCCTGCTTTACTTTTTTTTTTTTTTTTGGTACTTACTGCAGTTAACATATGATATGTTTTATTTTTCTATTTTATCATCTCGATCCCTGACTAGAATGTAAGCTCCATGAGGGCAGATTTTTTTTTTTTCCTGTTTTGTTCATTGCTATATCCCTAGAGCCTGGGAGAGAACGTAGTGCATACTAAGCATGGAAACATACACATTGAATTCATGGATAGATGACTGGAGAAGAGGGATACGTCTCCCTCCATTTCTCTTGATTTGTTCCTGCAAGTTCACAGATACAGGATTGAAAGAGTTGAGAAACAGTTGTATGGTCAAAGTTATAGAGAATAGACAGACTTTCTATGTTAATTTTTTCTTTTAAGTTTGGAGAGGCTTACTCATCCAGCAAATTAAGACCTGCCAACTTTTTGATAATCTGGTCAATAAATTACAAAACAGTTGTTCCTTTCAAGATTTATTCAAAACGTGCCAACTCTGCTTAATTAAGCACTTTGATGGTTTAAGAACTCTTGGTGAGTAGCTTAGTAGGGAGGGAATTTGTTCATTCATCCCTCTATCCCTCTCTTTTCCCTTCCCTCCCTCCATCCCTTCCCTTCTTTCCTCTGCGCTTTTCCTCATTATATATATAGCATTGTGTTTGATACTGTGAGAAGTAATTTTAAGAATTATAAGTTACCAGTCCCAGTTCTTTATAAATTTAGGCTGTAGTTGGTATAGGAGCTGTACATGTGAAAATTAAATACAAATACAAGGCAAATGATTAATGTCAGTTAAATAGTGAAGACAAGAATAGTGAAGACAGTAAGTATACAGTAGTTTAGAGGTATGAAGATTGAACTGGTTAGAAAAGATCTAGAAGAGATTACATAGAATGGGTTACTGGGGAGACCTGTATAGATTTCAGATATTTTCAGAGATGAGTATTTTTTAATGTGGTTCTATTTTATTTTTTAACATTTTGAATTCCAGGAATGTTAGACATATCACATTGACATATGTCAGAAATAAATACAAATGATTTTAAGTACTCTGTCTTCATTAGAATATTAATACCTGCAGTTAAACTTTACAAAAAAAGACTGATGATTATAACTAGCAATGTAATATAATGTAATATAGCTAGCACTGTGATAAATAGCTCATTAAATGTAACTCAGATATGAGTTAAAAATGTAAAAATTTGAGGAATTTCTAAGTGTTGGTTATCACGTTTGCATAATGCAAAAGTCTTTGGTTTAAAGTGAGGCTACATCATTTTTTGTTTGCAGTAGTAGTATTGTTTGAGAGGCAATCTTCTATGGGACTGAAAACCACATGCTTGGAGTTAAATTGTCTGAATTCAAATTTTGTCTCCACTATTTGCTGGCTGTGTGATCTTGGGAAACTTGATCTCTTCAAGTCTTTATCATAATATTTAGCACATAGGCACATAGGAAGCATTTGGTAACATGAGTGATTACTACTGTCTTAGCAGTTCTGCTTCTCAGGGTTTATTTAAATAAACAGATGTAACTGGATTTCTCTGGTTTGTATGCCATTTGAAATTGGATTTCTCCTTATACCACAAAAGGTAAAGTTAAGGAACTGATCTGTGATTTATAGTCTACTAACTTCTTTTTCTAGTGTTTGTCCACATATCTGTGTTGGCAAAATTTATTGTGTATCATACCCCAAGTCAGTGTTACGTTGAAGAGATAACTTCAGATAGGTAAATATAATTGCTTAAGTCTCCTAAATAAGCATGTGATTTTTATATCTTTTTTTTTTTTTTTTTTTTTGGCAGGAAATCGTTTTGTACTATTGCTCATTCATAGTTGTTCATCAAAGCCGAGAGTCCTCAAGGACAGAATTTACCTCTAAACAGAAAGATGGAAACTAGAGTTCATTTATTCTGCCAGGTATTTATTCAAAAGAGATTCTAAAGATTCCTTTTTTTAAAAAGTTAATTTACATTACTTCATATTCACAATCAGTAAGCAAATTCATAGAGTAATAGTCATAAGGAACCTGCCTAATAACTGAGGTGACTTGAGCAATTTTAGTGAACATATATTGAACTCTCATCCCCTATATGTGCAAGATCTCACATATAGTACTGTTCTGTGGTGTATGTTGAGAGTATTTTTGGTGGGGGGAATACACAGACCTGGATAATTTTTCTGCAGATCAAAAGAGTTAAACTTACATGAGAGGTTGTAGATAATGTAATTAATGATGTGAGAGTTTAACCAAAAAGTAATATTGAGGATATAAAATTTCTTTAGCCATCTTTTCTGTGCTTCAGATTTGTCTTTAGATACTTTCACTTTTTTTTTTTTTTTTCAAGTAAGACAAAATTTTTCAAATAAACACAGATCTGGACTTATTAAGGAGAGACTTTATTCAAAAGAATTATTGCCAGGGGAGAAAAGGACTATTTAAATTGGAAGAAGAGGAGGACTATTGCAATGGGAAGAATGCTGTGATCGTAAAATCTGCAAGCATCTCAAGGGTTGGGTAGAAGGAGTTTTCTGTTATAGAGAGAGCCTGGAAAGAACCAGGTGTGGGGAAATGGGGTGAAAGAGTAGGATTAGATAAGTAGATTGGAGAATATTTTATTATCAAGTCAGTCTATTTTGTTCTGATTATCAGTGGGGATAAAACAATTCAACTAACAATTTATGATGCAAAGAAAGGGAATTTTGAGGGTGTGTGTCTGGCATTGTCATACGTAAACAAGGGGGGCATTCCAGAGTCTTACCTAAGTCATTATGGGGAGGGATGGTTTGCAGTAAGCCATTTTCTGAACATAAAAGGGTGGGGGGATTCCTTTAACCCTCACTGTTTTCTGGGAGTTTAGGGCTCAAGTGAAATTCAGTATTGTCCATTGAGAGTCCTAATCTTTTAAGTTCATTCTTTTAACGGATCTGATGCTACTGTGTAAAACATGTACCTATACTACAGTCTAAAAAAATTATTTCAGACTCTAGAAAAGTACTGAGATATGTACTTTATGTCATATATATATATACATATATACATTTAAAATTTACCTTTTTATACCTACTACTTCCTGGATTTTGCCCATATAAACTAATTTTGAAGGTGCATTCTTAAAAATTAAAATTACAGAATTATACTAGTTTTTTTTCCTTAGACTATATAATTTATACTTCCCAAATGGCTCACCTTTTACTACAGTGTTTCTGAGATTCTTCTCTTTCTTCTTCTGTGTCAAGTTTCTACTCACTCTTTGTTTTCATTCACTTGGCCTTTTGGTAACAGGTTTTTCTGCCTTTTTAGATTCCCCACCCCTTTTCCCTTCTGCTTTCTATTTTGGGTCATTTTTTTCAAACTCTTTAGGAATTCTTTCATCATTTGTAATACACATCTCATCAAGGCAGTAAATTGAATTGCCTTCTTCAAACAAGTTAAAGGTGTGCCTTTGTCCCATCCCCTGGAAAACACTGATTTTTTTTTTTTTTTTTTTTTTTACTGTCTTCATCGTTTTGCCTTTTCCAGAAAAGATACTAAAAGTCACTGAAATAGTTCTGTTAATTTCCATCCTGTGGAAATAGAGATTCTCTCTAAACTTCTTTTTAATCTTCTTTATAAATTGTCTGTGTAATCTTCAGTGTCACCTTTGGGTCCAAAGGCTCAGGACTAATGCACCTTTAATTGACTGGATGCCGTCCAGTTGTCTTAAGCAAGCAGCCAAATTTCAGGAGAGAGTATTTCTAACTACGTTCCTCTTTTTCTAAACATGTTTGTTGTCACTAAACTCTATTTCTTTTTTGTGGGGCGGGGAGTGGGGAGAGGCATCTATTTAGAAGCAAGGTGGGTGTTGAACAATGAGAACACATGGACACAGGGAGGGGAGCACTAAACACTGGGGTCAGTTGGGGGGAAATAGGGGAGGGACGGTGGGGAGTAGGGAGCTGGGGAGAGATAGCAAGGGGAGAGATGCCAGATGTAGGTGATGGGGAGGAACGCAGCAAATCACACTGCCACGTGTGTACCTATGCAACAATCTTGCATGCTCTTCACATGTACCCCAAAACCTAAAATGCAATAAAATAAATAAATGGGAAAAAAAATTTAGGCTTTGTTTTTTATTTTTTTTGTAGAATGGTATTTTTTATTTTAATAGCTTCAGGGATACAAGTGGTTTTTGGTTACATGGATGAATTATTCAGTGATGAAGTCTGGGCTTTTAGTGTACCTGTTACCTGAATAGTATACATTGTACCCAACAGGCAGTTATTCATCCTTCACTGCCCTGCCCCCTCTCCACTCCAAATCTCTACCCTCTAGCAGCCTTTTTGTATCCACAGTTTAGCTCCCATTTATAAGTGAGAATATGCAGTATTTGGTTTTTTGTTCCTGAGTTACTTCACTTAGGATATTGGCCTCTAGTTTCATCCAAGTTGCTGTAAAATACATTATTTTTGTTCTTTTTTAATGGATGAGTAGTATTCCATAGTATATATTTCACATTTTCTTTAACCTCTCATCGGTTGATGGGAACTTAGGTTCCATACCTTTGCTATTGTGAATTGTGCTGAGATAAACATATGTGTGTAAGTGCTTTTTTGATGCAATGACTTTTTTTTCCCTTTGGGTAGATACCCAGTAGTGGGATGGCTGAATTAAATGATAGATGTACCTTTATTTCTTTGAGAAATCTCCATACTGCTTTCTGTAGAAGTTATACTAATTTACACTCCCACTAGCAGCTTATAAGTTTTCCCTTTTCATCCAGTCTGCACCAACATCTGTTGTTTTTTGACTTTTTAATAATGGCTATTCTGGCTAGGGTAAGGTGATATCTCATTGTGGTTTTAATTTGTATTCCCCTGGTGATGGGTGATGTTGAACATTTTTTTCATATATTTGTTGGCCATTTGTATATCTTCTTTTGAGAAATATATGTTCATGTTATTTTTCCACTTTTTAATGGGAGTACTTGTTTTTTTCTCTGCTGGTTTGTTTGAATTCCTTGTAAATTCTGGATATTAGTCCTTTGTTGGATGTATAGTTTACAAATATTTTCTCCCATTCTCTTGGTTGTCTGTTTACTGTGTTGATTATTACTTTTGCTGTGCAAGAGCTTCTTAGTTTAATTAGGTCTCATTGATTTATTTTTGTTTTTGTTGCGTTTGCTTTTGGGGTTATAGTCATAAATTCTTTGCCTAAGCCAGTATCCAGAAGAGTTTTTCCTAGGTAGCCTTCTAGAATTTTTATGGTTTCAGGTCTTAGATATGTAAACTTTATTTTTTTTTAAGAGCAGTTTCTAGGTTCAGAAAAAAATGAGCAGAAAGTACAGAGAGTTACTGTATACCTACTACCCCTATACATGCACAGCTTACCCTACTATCAACATCCTGTAGCACAGTGGTACAATTGTTGTAACTGATGCATCAACACTGGGACATCATTATCACTCAAAGTCCATAGTTTACGTCATTAGAGTTCACTTTTGTTGTTGTACATTCTATGAGTTTGAACAAAAGTATTATGACATATAGTCAACGTTATAGTATCATGTAGAATAATCACATTGCCCTAAAATCCTCTGTGCCCTAGCTATTTACCTCTTCTTCCCCCATCCCCTGGAAAACACTGATTTTTTTTACTGTCTCCATAGTTTTGCCTTTCCCAGAATGTCTATAGTTGGAATTATACAATATGGAACCATTCAGGTCAGGCTTTTTCACTTAATGTGCATTTAAAGTTTCTGTATGTCTTTTTAAGGCTTGATAGCTCACTCTTCTTTAGCACTAAATAATATCCCATCCTCTACATTTAACATAGTTTATTTATTAATTACTGAAGGACATCTTTATTGCTTTCAAGTTTTGGCAATTATGAGCACAACTGCTATAAACATCCAATTGTAGGGTTTTGTGTGGAAATAAAGTTTCAACTTGTTTGCGAAAATACCAATAAATGCAATTGTTTCATTGTATGGTAAGAGTATGTTTTGTTTAGTTTTGTAAGAAACTGCCAAACTGCCTTCTGAAGTGGTTGTACAATTTTGCATTCCCATCAGCAATGATGAGAGTTCTTGCTTCACATCCTTGCCAGCATTTGTTATTGTCAATGTTTTGGGTGATTGCCATTCTTTTTTCTTAATTGAGTTTTTTCTTATTATTTTAAATTGACAAATAATAATTGCAGATATTTATGGGGTATATTGTGGTATTTTGATCTATGTATACATTATAGAAATATCTAATCAAACTATTAACATATCCATTACTTTATAAACTTGTTTTTTGTGGTAAGAACATAAAAATATTTAGTGATTTTGAAGTATATGATACATTATTTATTAACCATGTTCACCATACAATGCTAAAACTTGTTTCTCCAGTCTAACTGAAACTGTACCCTTTGATCAGTGTCTTCCCTTTCCCTATCTCTTTTCCTCCCCCAAACTTATCTACCTCCAACCTCTTTCTACTCTCTGTTTCTATGAGAACAACTTCCCTAGATTTCACATGAAAGTGAGATCATATAGTGTTTGTCTTTCTGTGCCTGTATTATTTCACTTAGCATAATGTTTTGCAGTTCTATCCATGTTATGGTAAATGACAGAGTTTCCTTCTTTTTAAAGGCTATATAGTATTCATTTTTATATATTCACTACATTTTCTTTATGTATTAATCTGTTGATGGACGCTTAGGTTACTTTTATATCTTGGCTGTTGTGAATAATGCTGAAACAAATATGGGAGTGCAGATATCTCTTCAACATACTAATTTCAGTTCCTTTGGATTTATACCCAGAAGTGGGATTGCTGGATCATATGGTAGTTCTGTTTTCAGTTTTTGAGGAACCTCCATGGTGTTTTCTAGGATGGCTGTACTAACATTCATACCAACAATGTGCAGATGTTTCCTTTTCTCCACATCCTTGCCAACACTTGTTATCCCTTGTCTTGCAGATAATAGCTATTCTAAGAGGTGTGAGATAATATCTCATTGTGGTTTTATTTTACATTACCCTAACAATTAGTGATATTGAACATTTTTCACAAACCTGTAAGCCGTTTGTGTGTCTTCTTTTGAGAATGTCTGTTCAGATCCTTCACCCATTTTTGAATTGGGTAGTTAGTTTTCTTGCTTGAGTTGAGTTCTTTATATAATTTGGGTATAAATCTCCTAATCCCTTAACAGATGTATGATTTACAAATATTTTCTCTCCTTCTGTGGGTTATTTCTTCCTTGTCGATTGTATCCCTTGCTGTATAGAAGCTTTTTAGTTTCATATAATCCCATTTTTCATTTTTGCTTTTACTGCCTGTGCTTATAGAATCCTATTCAAGAAATAATTCCCTAGATCAGTGTGGTAGAGCTTTTTCCCTATCTTCTTGTACCTTTACAGTTTTACGTCTTGTGTTGAAATCTTTAATGCATTTCAAATTGATTTTTATATTTGGTGTGATATAATGGCCCAATTTCATTTTTCTGCAGGAGGATATCCAGTTTTCCCAATGCCATTTATTGAAGAGACTGTTCTTTCCCCATCATGTGTACTTAGCCCTTTGTTGAAAATCAGATTATTGTAAATATTTGGATAATTTCTAAGCTTTCTATCTTATCCTATTAGTTGGTGTATCTGTTTTTATGCCAGTACCATTCTGTTTTGATTACTGTTGCTTTATAATTGAAATTATAGAAATTAGGAAGAATAAAAATTTTGAAATTAGGAAGTATGATGCCACCAACTTTGTTCTTTTTGCCTACATTTGCTTTGGCTATATAGGGTGTTTTCTGGTTCTATATAAATTTTAGGATTTTTTGATTTCTGTGAAAAATGACATTGGAATTTTGAGAGGAATTGCATAGAATCTGTAGATAGCATTGGATAGTAAGACATTTAAACATATGAATTTTTTGAATCCATGAACATGGGCTATCTTTTCATTTATGTTTTCTTTAGTTTCTTTTTTCCAGTTTTTTTTTAAGCAAAGTTTTATAGTTTTTTGTTAAACTTTCACCAATCTAACAGGTATGTAATGGTATTTCCTTTTAATTCACAGTTCCCTAATCACATTATAATGTTGAGCCTCTGTTCATATTCTTACCTACCACACTTCTGTACATCTTCTTTGGTGAAGTGTCTGTTCAAGTCTTTAGTTAATTTTAAAGTTGAGTTCCTTTTTATTATGTTTTAAGAGTTCTTTGTATATTTTGGGTACCAATTCTTTATCATATATGTCTTTTGAAAACATTCTTTCCCAGCCTATGACTTGTCCTTTTGTTGATATGGTGTCTTTCACAGAGCAGAAGCTTTTAATTTAAATGAAGTCTAACTTATCAATCATTTCTTTCATGGATCATGGCTTTGGTTTATATCTAAAATTTAGTTAATTTTTTATAATAAAAAAATTGCTTTGCAAAGAGTATGATAAATTTTGTACCTCGATGCCTTAAGAGCTAGATACAGGCCGGGAGAAGTAGCTCATGCCTATTATCCTAGCAGTTTGAGAGGCTGAGGTGGGAGGATTGCTTGAGCTCGGAAGTTTGAGACTAGCCTGGGCAATGTAGCGAGACCTCATCTCTACAAATAATAAAAAATTAGCCAGGCATGATGGTGCATGCATGTGGTCTCAGCTTCTCAGGAGGCTGAGGTGGGAGAATTGCTTGAGCCTGGGAGGCCAAGGCTGCAGTGAGTCATGACTGCACCATTGCACTCCACCATAGGCAACAAAAAGAGACCTTGTCTCAAAAAAAGAAAAAGTGCTAGATTAAATAACCATTATATTTATTTATAAATGATGTTCATTTTATAGCTATATAATGCACTAAGGAAAATTGGAGTTATTTACAGTATGTACTGAATCTGGAAAAATAATACACTAGTGAGTAAAACCTTTTTCAACAAAATTCTCTTTGGTAGCACTATTTGAGAAAGAATATCAATCTAAAATGAATGATTTGACCCAGAATGTCATATTTAATATGTTTGTGCAAAGAGAACATGCTTGATTGTGGCTCTTATATTCCCTAGGCAGAGGAAGATATTGACTTATTAGATGATGCCTGTAATTCTTTTGCAACTGACTTGCCATCAGGAACTATTGACCACAAGAAATACATCAGGTTTTCTAAAACAATAGAGAAGAAAATTTCACCAGAAATTAGGAGTTTGAGCCCAGAATATAAAAAAATGTAAGTTAAAAACTCTGAATTTACTTTATTGGTTTATACATTTGCAAGTTAAGAGTGTCAAAATGTAGCTTATGTGTTCTCATAATGTACTGTACCATGTGTATAGGATCATTCTTTCAGTAGCATGATTTAAACTCCTAAATAGCTGTTCTTACATTTTTTCTGACTTCTCTCATAGCCATGTGGAAGCCTATAGGCTTCCATGTTGTGTTAGTCAGTTCTTACATTGTTATAAGAACTGCTTGAGACTAGGTAATTTATAAAGAAAAGAGGTTTAATTGCTCATGGTTCTGCAGGCTTTATAGGAAGCAAGGCTGGGGAAGCCTCAGGAGACTTAGAATAGGGGTGAAAGGTAAAGGGGAAGCAAGCATATCTTCACAAGGCTAGCAGGAGAGAGAGTGAAGGGGGAAGTGCCGCATGCTTTTAACCAAACACATCTTGTGAGAACTCAGTATCATGAGAATAGCAAGGGGGAAATCTGTCCCTATGATCCAATCACCTCCTACCAGATCCCTACCCCAACATTGGGGATTATAATTCAACATGAGATATGGGTAGGGACACAGAATCCAACCATATCACATGTGAAAGCCTGTAAGGAAGCTGTAAGCTAACTGGAATCATAGAATTCCAGTTAGAGGAGAACAATTATCCATATGTCTGTTAAGTTTGTCTTAAAGAGAGTAGGCTTGGCTTTGTGCTTTCCATGAAGTTAAGCTATTTGAATCTTTTGGCAGTTCTTTCTTGTATGCTGCATTGACTGATTGCCTTTTGTTAGTTATAGAAGTGCTAGCATTTTATATGCACGTAGGAGAAATACTCAATCTGTATTTATTATTTATAAAATGACTGAAAAAATAAAAAAAATTATCCAAAGCCTTTGAGAAAACATTCAGAACTTATGTCACTTTATGTTTCTCTAACTAAATGCTGCTCTTACCTGTTGGTGAAAACTGGAAATTACCTACACATTATGATTGGAGAGGCACTTAAATAAAAACCTCCTCTACCTTCCAGAAGTCTGTATTTTCCTTTTATTTAATCTAACATTTTTACCACTACTCCTGTTTGTTAGATGGCAAAAGATCAAGCAATTATTTCTAGAAGACTGCAATAAAACTTGTTATCTAGGAAGAAAAGGGAGGTCGTGGGAGCATCCATTAGAATTGTTCAAGATAGGTTAGCACTGTGAGAAGCACATGCCTCAAAAGAATGAGGTACAGTGCGTGTTTTCACTTGTAAGAGGGAGCTAAACAATGGGTACGCATAGACACGTAGAGTAGAATAATAGACATTGGGACTACAGAAGGTAGGAGGAGGGGTGAGGGTTGAATTTGGTGATGGGTACGCTGAAAGCCTAAACCCACCACAATGCCATATATGCATGTAAGAAATCTACACTTGTACCCTCTAAATATATAAAAATAAAATTTGTTTTAAAATGGGGTACAGGGCAAATGTTTTTATTTGTTCATTATTTATACCCAATTATCCTTATTATATGAAATGTGTGAAGCAGCTCATAATTAAAAAGTACACTTATACTTTTGTTTACCTAAATAAGGAAACGGAGGCAAAATTAATATAAGTAGAGAGTTTATTTGGGCCCAGTTTGAGGATTCTGGGAGGCACGCTGGAGAACAAAGGAGAGGCTCAAGGTTTTAAAGAAAAAAGGTACCAGTCAGGAGGGGTTGATTACAAAAGTTGTTTTTCAGGAATTCTCACTGGTTTACAGAAATAACATTGATTAGCAATTGGCTATACATTGCTGAATTGTAGGGTATGAGTTATGGTATCCCGTGTATGGCATTGTGAGGTTAATTTGTGGCTGCTTGGTGACAAAGTCTACAGTCCATATAGCAGGCCACTTTGAAATAATTACTTAGCTCAAGGGGATGTGAGATAGTGACTCCTATCTACTTTTAATGCCTCTGTGGGCCTGATAATTTAAAGAGGCCTTGCACTCATAAGATTAAACATTTATTTTCTTTCTCACTTTTTGAAAAAAGGTGAAAGATCAAAAGTCATGCAGTGGAGTGGAAGTCATGATTATACTAGAAATAAGAAGGCTCAGCTTCAATAATGATATGTGGGGGATATAAAGCACTAGTAAACTATAGGTTATGACTCATTAATGGGTCATGAAATCAGTTTAGGAGGTCACTACTAGTTTTTATTTTTTTCTTCTTCTTTTTTGAGGCAGGAATTTACTCTGTCATCCTGGCTGGAGTGCAGTGGCATGATCATAGCTCATTGCAGCCTGGAACTCCTGGGCTTGAGGGATTCTCCTGCCTCAGACTCCTGAGTAACTAGGCTTACAGGCGTGCATCACCATGCCTGGCTAATTTTTAAATTTTTTGGAGAGATGGAGTCTCACTATATTGCCCAGGCTGGTCTTGAACTCCTGGCCTGAAGCAGGCCTCCCACCTTGGCCTCCCAAAGTGCTGGGACTACAGGTGAGAGCCACTGCAGCTGGTTTACTTCTAGTTTTTGTTTTAAATAAATACATTAGAATTGAAAACATTAGAGTGCTTTTTCTTCCTTCTCTCCCCCCCTCGCTTTCTATTGCACTCCTCTCTGTATATGTATATTGCACCTCAGTAGAGAATATACTTTTGACTGTGGGTCATAGGCAAAATAGTTTAACATCCTTGCTTTTGAGACTAGGGGACTGCAGAGGGATATAATCATATGGCAGCTTCAGGGAAGTGAAGAGCAAAGTATGGATGTTCACAGGTGTGAATTTGGGAGATTTAGATTTATAGTGATAGTGTGTCAAAAAAGCAAGGTACTTTTTCTTGGAGAAATAAGTCAGAAAAAAAAGAGCAGGGTACACCATAAATACATACAATTTTATTTGTCAATTAAAAAATAAATTTATTTTATCTGTCAATTTAAAATAAAATAAAATTGAAAAAAAAGGCCAAGGTACTTGCTAAAGAAGGGGAATGGCATGAATGATAATTTTTTTTTTTTTTTAATGTCACAGTTTTGCTTAGGGCCGAGTTCACCTGAAGCTGTAGTAGATAGTATAGTTAGTCACTGCCCTGTTAGAGTTCTTGAAATTTAGGTTTACCCTGGATTACTTGAAGCATTTAAGAGTATGTATCTTCTCTTTTAAAATTTAATTCAAATATAATTCATAATTATATTTTATCTCATTGTTGTATAGTTTATGGTAGTAGTCTCCCACCTTCTTGGCACTAGAGACTGGTTTCATGGAAGATAATTTTTCCAAGGACAAGGGGATGGGGAGGAGGCGGGAGTGGTTTCTGGATGAAACTGTTCCACCTCAGAAGATCATCAGGCATTAGTTTCTAATAAGGAGGCACAACCTAGATCCCTTGCATGCACAGTTCGCAATAGGGTTTGTGCCCCTATGAGAATCTAATGCTGCTGCTGATGTGACAGTAGGTGGAGCTCAGGTGGTAATACCTACTCTCCAGCCACTAATCTACTGTGCAGACCGGTTTTGGTCTGTGGCCCAGAGGTTGGGGACCTCTGGTTTATGGAATGTTTGTGTTATGGAAGGTCTTGAAATCGCACCATTGTGCTTTCACCTGGGCAGCAGAGTGACAGCCTGTCTCNAAAGAAAAGAAAAGAAAAAAAAAAAGAAAGATCTTTGACAGTATAATAAGAAGAGGAAAAAGGAGAAAGAAGAGAAAACCAAACAATAAGCAAGAAGAATGAAGTTCAGCTTCTAGTGCCCAAACTTTAGTCATGAAATACCATTTCTTATTAGAAGGCTCTTTAGAGAAATACCGATTGCATGTCTGTGAGAGGAAATGTAGAGATAAACCTGGAACATCTTATCTTCCAGAGATAAGGAAACTATTAATAAAAAAGACTGCTACTAGGGATCAATCAGAAGGACTCAATGGCCTACTTGAAGAGGGTCCCACCTTTTCTTATAAAAGATGAGAAAATTAGAGCATCAATAAGTAATAATTTCGGGAATTAAACTGCATCAAACATATTTAAGTCCATGTGTTCAAAAGGGTATAAAATTATTTTGTCATTTTTAGAGGTTACAAGTGAGCCAAATCTTTGTCATGAAAAGTGGTAAATCAAGGAAAATAATAGAGCAATTATCTTGCCTTTCTTTCTTGTTTTTTTTTTTTCAATCAGTTGAATCTCTATATCTTGCGTTTCAATATGAACTGTACCGAATAGTACATGAGATAAACCAAATAGTATTTGAGAGAAAGTTTCTATTTGTAGAAATATTCTAGCAGTCAGGCATGGTGGTGCATGCCTATAGTTCAGTACTCAGGAGGCTGAGGTGGAACAATCACTTAAGCCTGGGAGTTTGACTGTAGTGTGTGCTATAATCACACCTATGAATCTCTACATATATAAACAAGAAATATTCTAGCTAATGATTGAAGGAATGATAGATTTATAACATAACCACTTTGCAGTCCCTCATGATTTATCATTTTTATTTATTTATTTTTGAGACAGAGTCTCACCCTGTCACCCAGGCTGGAGTATAGCGGTATGATCTTGGCTCACTACAAACCTCTGCCTCCCAGGTTCAAGCAATTCTTCTGCCTCAGCCTCCTGAGTACTTTGAACTATAGGCATGTGCCACCATGCCTGGGTAATTTCGTATTTTTTTAGTAGAGACGGGATTTCACCATGTTGTCTAGGCTAGTCTTGAACTCCTGACCTCAGGTGATCTGCCTGCCTCAGCTTCCCAAAGTGCTGGGATAACAGGCATAAGCCACCATTTCTGGCCAGTCCCTATAATTTACTGGATCTAGTTATATGTATAAGTAGCTGCTAATACCACAAATAGCCAATTGGACATTATGTACTTCCTGATGGAATAACATCACCACCTAGATAGTGGTTTTGCATCTCCCTCAAATATTAAACATTAATATGTTCAATCCTCTAGAATCTTACAACCATGGTGATACAATCAGCAAAATCCCAACTGTGGAAAATCAGCAGGACAAATGACCTAGTAATAATAATTATAATGATAATAAAAAGTATAGAAGGAGAACTTATAGATGAAAAGAAGTTTAAAAGACATTTCAGTCAACTGTGATGCTGGGATTTTATTGAGTCCCGATATAATATGTTAAAAAAATTTATGAAATTTATGAGACAAATAGAAATGTGAATACTACCTGTATGCTTGATATTAAGAAATTGTTAATTTTTTAGCTGTCATATGGTGTTTTTTGTTTTGTTTTGTTTTGTTTTGAGATGGAGCCTTGCTGTGTCACTCAGGCTGGAGTGTAGTGGCTGGATCTCAGCTCACTGCAACCTTTGCTTACCAGGTTCAAGCAATTCTTGTGTCTCAACCTCCTGAGTAGCTGGGACTACAGCCGTGTGTCACCATGCGTGTGTGTGTATGTATATATATATATATATATATATATATATATATTTTTTTTTTTTTTTTTTTTTTTTTTTTTTTTTTTTTTTTTTTGTATTTTTAGTAGAGACAGGGTTTCACCATGTTGGTCAGGCTGATCTTGAGCTTCTGACCTCAAGCAATCTGCCTGTCTTGGCCTCCCAAAGTGCTGGGATTACAGGTGTAATCCACTGCACCTGGCCCATAATCATGTTTTAAATGAAAAAAGACACATTGTAGAGATTTTAATTAAAATCTTTAGAGATGAAATTATATACTATGATTTATTTCAAAAATAATAAGGGATGGGAACAGGGATGGGATATAGATGGAATAGGATTGGCCATTGTTGAAATTGGGTGATGGAATTCTGTATACATTTGTGTATGTTAGAAAATTTCCATAATTAAAAGTTGAAAAAGCAAAAGTAAAAAGAAATTCAAGAGTGATTCAATTTCTGTGTAATTTAGGTTTGAAACATCAATATTCCTTTGTGGAGAAGAAAAGTCCTCTGATTTGGTAGAAGAAAAAAAAGTCAGGAAAAAGAGTTTACAAGTACAACAGCACAGCAAAAGAACTGAGGTAAATAAAAATTTGGAAATTTTTCTTTTATTTTCAAGTGTTCTCCTTAGCCTTCAAACATTCCCTTATATTTTTTAGTCCATGTGTTGAAATGTCACAGTCTTAAATATTACTACTTGCTCTTGCTCCTCCTTTTCTCTTTGTTTTCCTTTTCCTTCTCCTCCTTTAAAAAAAAAACAGAACAAGGAATCTTTTCAGAAGCTTATGAAAAATTTGCCTTTATTTTCTATTAAGCAATTTTTTACTGTGCTCTCTGCTAACATTTTTTATTTTTTAACAGTGATCCTAGGTGTTCTTTGGTTTGTGGCAGCATAACTCCAAACTTTGCCTCCATCTTCCCATGAGTCTTCACATGATCTTTCTTCCTGTGTTTGTATCTCATCTCCTTCTTCCTTTCTCTTATAAGCACATCTGTCATTGTACATTTCATTTCAAGATCTTAACTTGATTACATCTGCAAAGACTTTTTCTCCAAATAAGGTAACATTCACAGGTTTCAGATATTAGAACATGGAATATCTTTTTGCGTAGTCACCATTCAATTCACTGTGATATACTTAGAGGTATATTTCCTTTTTTCTCCTCTGTCTTAGTATTTGCTGTGCTTAAATCTGAGAATGCATGCCTTTCTTCAATTCTGAAAAATTCTAATATATTATCTTTTAGAATATTTCCCCTCCTTCAATCTGTTTACTGTCCTTTTTTTTTTTATCATCTATTAGATGTGTATTAAATTTGTCTTCCTGTTTTCTATATTCTTTAGCATTGCTTCATATTTTAATCTATTCTGTCTTTCTTCTTTGCTCTTGGTAATTTCTACCCATCTACTTTCTAGTTCACTTATTCTTTATCCAGCTGAATCTAATCTGCAGTTTAATTTTTCCATTGAGATTTTAATTTCAGTGATTCTATTTTTTACCTCCAGAAGTTTTATTTGGTGATTCTTAAAGTATGCCCTATGTCATGTTTTTCGCTCATGTTCTATAATTATTTCAAGATTGATATTTGATCAATTCAATATATGAAGTTCTTGGGGGATCTAAATGTTGTGTTTGTTGTTTTGTCTGATTCTCATTCATGTTAAGTTATGTCTTTGGGTGTTACATATGTTTTGTACATTCTTTCATATATAGTTGATCTAAATCTGTGGGAATCTTCAGTTTGCCCTTCTTCAAGATAATTTTTAAAACGAGAATTTGCATTTGCCTCTGCCATGCACTTCAGAAATGTTACAAATCTGAGATCACTTTAAATGAATTTTTTGGTTTCTGTTTCCCTGGCCCACATATTTAGTGTAGATTTGAATTCTAAGCTCATATGTAGGTAGAGTTATGATTATAACTAATTAGCAGGAGTAGTATTTCTTTTTTTCCAACCTGGAGCTGGGATACAGACCTATTTTAATCATACTTTTTCATTGAGGGATAAGTTTTTTCCCACTCTTGCTGAAAACATCATCTTTTAAAGATTTTGGTTCTATGTGGCGTCTCAGTACCAATTCCTGTCAATCTTGTGTAGTGTGAGAGTCTTTTTTCCACATCTTGCATGGCCATTAAAACTCAAGGCTTAGGGTTCCATGTAAAATTGAAGACACCTATAAATATAGTTCTCATTTCCTAAAGTGGTACTTTCCTGTCCACCTAGTTACTTGCCTTTTTGGATTCATGTTTATACATGCAATCTTAAGTGGATAATTTACTCAATGATAAGGATAATTGAAAACAAAATTACCTATATCATTTGAATATCTGTGTTGATTCTCCGCATTGCACGTAAGTCAAAGCCTTTGTATGTAACCTGGAGTCTGGTAACTGAGTCATCTTGTTTTCTCTACCATAGATTTGCCCTGCTTTATAAAATCCAATTCTATACATTGACCAAATATTAATGACATGATTAACTTCATACTTAAGAAAACCATGGCTTTAGAAAAGAATATTATATAGTTTATATAAAATTTTAGTTTATATTAAATGTAATTTAATTACAAAAGGCAATTTTACACCAGAAGCATAATTAATGAGGAGCCAAAGTATGATTAATTGCCTTTTAAGAGTTGTGTCATCCAAGAATGGTGAATTACCAATGTGATCTCAGGCACCAACATACATGCATTTGGCTCTAGATTGGCCTTCCTTTTCTGAAGCTGTCAAAGGAGAAGGTGACTAGGAAAGAAAACTCTTTACGCAAGTTGCCGAATCAGCACAGCGTTCACAAGACTTCATCATCTCTTTGTACATCTTCCTCAATTACTCGGTATTTAAATCCTTGTACTCTGTTTCTTGAATGTTGGGTTCAGACTTGGGTGTTTCTCTTCAGAATCATTTATCCCTTCCACATAAAGAATGTCAAGTAGTTTGTGCTAACTATGCTCTTAGGATTATGTAGAGATAAGAGCACTGTATGTGGAATTGGAGGACTTAGATTTGAGTCCTGATTGACCTCACATGCTTAGACTTTTGTAAAATTTGTATCTCTGGGCCTCACTTTCCACATCTGTATAAGGATCTTGTACTAAATGAACTCTTAAGATGTCTTCCAACACTAACAGTATATGATTTTAGTTATTTATATGATGTTGTAGTATTAGATAATATTTTCCAGACATTTTTACTGATAGGTGATGGAATCTGAGATTCTTTGGCTGTTTAAAGATGTTCTTCGTTTGCTTTATTGCAATAACTTTCTTAAAAATTTGCCGTGACTTGGATTAAGAATAGGAAAAACTGGACCATAGTCAAAGGATAGTTGGCCATGGGCACTATTTACAGATTGGGTAAATTCTGCTTTACAGAAAAATATCCGTAAAAGAAATAAGGTGGGAATCCTGAAGTAAAGAATATGGGATTCTCCATAACTTGGACAGTTCTTCAAGAAAGGTTCTTATGAATCTCAGACTATTGATAGGTTTGTTAATATTTTAAAATGGAATTTGCATATTTTCATTGCTGCTTTCTAATATGGCTGTTTCTTTGACAGGGGCAAGGAAATGCTATCTAACCTCTACCTGACATTATATAATGAAGTAACCCATGGATATTTATACTACCAAGAATTAAGTGGTAATAAGAGGTTCTAAAATTTCTTGAATACATTTCCTGATTATGTGCTTTTTAGGAATTGTTTTAGCAGGTAGTGCCTTTTCTTCTACTCCTAATGGCTTATGGTATCAACTGATAAAACATGATATAGCAAATGCTGCAGGCTGTAAGGAAGCAAATGTGGATAGTTTAATCCTTAAATATCTTTTGTTATATTGGTAAGATAGGCAAAATATGTGGCTTATACTAGTTCAAATGTATTTTTTGGAAAAATGTCTACACGTTACACCCCATGGATATATTAGTAAGTTCTGAAGCCACTGATATCACTGGAATTTAGTCTTTGGTATCTTAATATTAAGGCTTATACTACCCTTTACTCCTTCATAATGCTGACTTCTGCCATATCTTGGGCTTCTCCTTTATATTTATGGAATAATTTGGCATAGTTTTCCTTTTATGTTAACTCTGATTGTCATAATATGTATCTTAGTGTCCAAATGGGTGACTCATACTGCTCTAGCTTCAAACTTTCCAAACCAATTATTTTACCTTGATTCTTCTGACCAACACTGATGGCCACAAATTACATACACATTTTCATTATGTGAAAATCTGAGGCTTTAATGTCTTGTTTTTCACTCACGATCTCTTATACTTCCAACTTTTAGAATTTTATTTCCTTGACCTCTCCATTTGGTGCCACTATATTGATTTCCAACCTCAGCTGCCCTTAGCACCAGTTGACATTCCCTTTATGTTTTGGTGTGATCTCTCTTTGGTACCTATTCCAAACCTTCGCTACTCTCCTCAAATCCTCAATTATGTCACCTATCTAACTCTAAACATTTAAAAAGTTTTACTTAGTTAAAATAAAATTAATTGTTTTCATTAATTGCTCAATTTTCTCACTTCCCATTTCATGGAAATCTGCCTTCCACCTCCAAAATTCTACTAAAACTTATTTTATTAAAGTCATTATTATCAACTCTTTAGTCTTTCTTTTGTATTTAGCATTGTCAGGGTTGGGTGAGGTGGCTCATGCCTGTACTCCCAGCACTTTGAAAAGCCATGTGGGAGGATCATTTGAGACCAGGAGTTCAAGACCAGCCTGGGCAATATAGTGAGACCCCATCTCTATAAAAAATAATAAAACCAAAAAATTAGTTGGGCATCTTGGCACACACCTGTAGTCCTAGCTACTTGGGAGACTGAGACTGCAGTGAGCCATGACCATACTACTGCATTCCAGCCTGGGCAACCGAGAAACTCTGGGTTTAAAAAGACAAACAAACAAAAAGTACTGTCATCGATTGCCGCTTTTCTGAAAATAAAGTGTAGTGTCCACTGAACCAAAAAATTCAGTTCAATAGACTTTTTTTTTTTTGAGAATTTATTCTGAATTAGGCACTGGAAACAGAAGAATGAAAAATTTTGCTCTGTAGAAGCTGACAGTTTAGTGAGGGGTATTGACATACAAGCAATCATAATGTCAAGGGCTTTGACTGAGATACATAGTAAGTGCAGTGGGGAAACACAGAGGAATGATTTGCTATTCCCAGGGCAAGTCGTGGAAGCCTTTGCCTATGTGCCCTTGTGTGACTTTCCTGACAGTTTCTGAAAGTTCTTTAGGAAACAGGTTGAAAGATTTGAATATTAAAAGATTGAAGGGGGTGGGATAAAAAAGAAAGAAGGTTGAAAGGCTGAAAGTACAAATTTCTCCCCTTTCTTTTAATGATTATTAGTTTTTTGAGAGATGGTGGGGGGAATAAAGATAATTATTCTTTTTGAATAACTAACTAAATGTTTTGTTATGTGTGTACAGCACTTCATAAAGCCTGTAAAATTTTTAGTAAAATTCGAAGTGGTAAGATTTATGTGAATGATCTTCCAGTGATCCTTTGCATCTTCAGAATTTCTATAAGTGATTTAGAAATGCGACAGGCACTAAAGACTATTGATATTGATGGTAAGTTTTATATTTTCAGTATTACCTTAAGGGTCTGCAATCATAAATATGTTATGTTTGTCAAATTAATTACAAATGATAGGAAAACTAAACCTTAAAATGTATTATAAAAACATCATTTTTGGTCATATTATATGTTATAAAACATTTTTATTTGTTACAAGAACATTACTTACAATAATGATATTAAAAATTGGCCTCAGGTTTATGTAATTGGGTTGATTAATTACTGGATTGAATTATGGCATATTCTCATTATTGGTCCATGCATGGTCTACTCTTATTTAGTTATGTAATTTAAATAAAGTAATAAATACTTGACCTAACCACCCAAAATAAAAATTAGGACCTTGTCAATAATTCGCCTGTAACTATAAAGTTTACTAAGCAACTTATTATTCTGTTTTTCCCAACCTGAAGTAAGCATTATCTTGAATCCTATATTCATTATTCTCTTTTTTTTTTCTTTTTAAATAGTATTATTGTTATGGATATGTATTTTTGTAAAATGGTTCAAAAATGTTTATTGTTTAAAAAACTTCAGTAAACAGTTCTTCATGATGTATATAATCTTTTGGAGACTTTTTCACTTAATATTATGTGACTAAGATTTATTCATATTGTTGTATACTGCTTTTTTTGTATGCTCTTACCACCCTTGAATTGATCAGCCTTTAAATTGTTCTGATAGATATACAGTTATTATCTGATAGTGGTTTTAATTTGCATTTCTGAATGATTAAATAATGTTGAATATCTTTTCATGTGCTTACTTGCCATTTGTATATTTTTTGCCCATTGAAAAGCTGTGTTCTTATTATTGCATTTTGAAATTCTTTATATATTCTGAATGTAAGTCCTTTATTGGATATGTGATTTGCAGATATTTTATTCCATTCTGTTGCTTGTCTTTTTATTCTCTTAAGAATGTTTTTAGAAAAGCAGAAGTTCATACTTTTGTTGAAGTCTAGTCTATAATTCTTTCTTTTATGAATTGCTTTTGATACCTATCTAAAAGATCTTTGCTAACCCAAAGTCACAACAATATCAGAAAACAAGTCTTTCATTAAAACATTAAAACAAGTAGTTCATTAAAAATTAGACAGATGTTTCACTGTTTTTGAAAGAAAGGAGTGCCCATTCTCAAGTTGTTATACTGAAGAAGTGGAGGCAGACAACTTGACAAACTTTTCAGTATTGGAAAAAGTGCTTCTGTGGTACGGAAATGAGAACAACCAAGCCTTGTCATTTTCTCTGCAGATGAGTGGAAGCACTGAAGTGTTCTTCTATAGGCTATTTTTGTTCAGATGACATTAAATTGAAATGTAGATTTATACTTGTTTTCTTCATGACATAGATAACATCATTGATGTAAATAAACCCTGTCAAAGTTAGCCTCGTTTACTTGACAGGAGGAAATGAAATCATAGTTATTTAACTTGAAGAATCTTGAGGAATTACCACTGCAATATCTGCAGTACTAGACCCATAGCATTCTTATTACTGCTGGAGCACTGTTTACTACGTAATTACAATATGTAAATTTTTTTCTGGTAAATTTTCTTTTTACATTCTCTATATAATGTTGGTTGCTCTATGTATAGATAATGGCATTCTAATGTCATTGTTAATTCTATTTATATTTTTAGTTGCCATTTATATCTTATGTTCTTAGTGAGTTTCCTAATAATGTTTGCTGATGGAGTTTTTTCCCCTTCTGTTTTGGAACCATTTTTATAGTTAATGGAATGCTGGATTTTTCAAATTTTCTTAAAGCTGTGACTGATGTTTCTTATTTGGTCTCTCAGAATCCAGGTAAAAAAGACTTCTTTAAAAGTATAGAAGATAATAATTTTGTAACTGATTTTGGGGTTGGGCGGGGTAGTATTTAACATATGAATTAATTTATATTTTACAGAATATCTTCCTTTTTCTCCCACTAGTTTAGGCTGAGAACAATAAAAGGCATTACAAAACCTGGCTTGAACCGCCCCAGTATCCTAACTTTCTATCTCTAATCTCTAGTTTTTCCTGCACATTAACTGCTAGACTAATTATCTTAAAACACTATTTTCATCATGTCATTTTCCTGCTCAAGAATTTAGATGCTCTTGTTATTATCAAATGCGTCTAGGCCAAGCTCTCATGCTTAGCCTCCTCACCCCTCTTCGTAATTTTGTTCATCACTCTTTGTTTTATCACAGAACCTTTTCTAGGCAAGAACCCTATACTCCAGTTAGTCATAATGAATCTCCATACTTGCCAATATAATTCTTAATCTCATGCCTTTGTGTGTTTTTTTTTAACTGTTGAAATCTCACATCTATTTTCTTCTTCATCCTTGACAGTGCTTTGCTCCTTTTGCTGGGAATCTGCTTGTATTTCTTCCTAAAAGTTTCATAAATTTATGGGTCTCCTAATAACATTAGTTTACATTACCTATGCATTAGAAATAAAGTGGTTGGAAAGAGTATTTATATTAATGGTAGAAACGGTACCTCCAAAAACATGAAATTTATGGCATTCGTGACCTGATGTTAGCAATTCTTCTATTCCTCCATTAGGCAATATCAAGTTCTTATGCTCAGTCCTTGGAATTATAAATTTTAATTTTAATTTGTATAAATTTAAGGGGTGCAAATGCAGTTTTGTTGCATAGATATATTGCATCCTGGTAAAGTCTGGGCTTTAGTGTAACCATTATCTGAATAGTTATACATTGTACTTATTAAGTAATTTTTCATACTTCACCCCCCTCCCACACTTCCAAGTCTCCAGTAACTATTATCGTATGCTCTATGTCCATGTGTACACATTTCGCTGCCACCTATAAATTAGGCTCCTGTTTATAAATGGCTTTCATTATCTTAAGTGAAATAACTCAGAAACAGAAAGTCAGATAGATAATAGTTTCATCCACGTTGCTCTAAAAGATATGATTTCATTCTTTTTTTATGGCTGAATAGTATTCCATTGTGTGTGTGTGTGTGTGTGTGTGTGTGTGTGTGTGTGTATACCACATTTTCTTTATCTAGACATCCATTGATGGACACTTAGGTTGAATTTACATCTTTGCTGTTGTGGATAGTGCTGTGATAAGCATATGAGTGCAGGTGTCTTTTTGAGATAATGGTTTCTTTTCCTTTGGGTATATACCTAGTAGTGGAATTGGTGGATCAGATGGTAGTTCTGTTTTCAGTTCTTTGAGAAATCGCCACACTGCTTTCCATTTTTTCATAATGCTCGTTTGGCCATTTGTATGTCTTCTTTTGAAAAATGTCTATTCATGTCATTTGCCCAATTTTTAACAGGTTATTTGTTGTTTTTGTCATCGTTGAGGTGTTTGAGTTCTTTGTAAATTCTTGATATCAGTCCCTTGTTGGATGCATAGTTTGCAAATATTTTATCCTGTTCTTTAAGTTGATAGTTCATTCTGTTGATTATTTCTTTTGCTGTGCAGAAGCTTTTTAGTTTTGTTGTCTCATTTGTCTTTTTGTTGTTGTTGTTGTTGCTTGTGCTTTCGAGTTCTTAGTCATGACCGATGTCAATAAGAGGTTTCCTTAGGTTTTCTTCTAGTATTCTTATAGCTTCAAGTATTACATTTAAGTTTAGATCCATCTTATCGCTTCATTACATTTACATTTAGATCCATCTTGAGTTGATATTGTATATGGTGGGAGATAGGGATCCAGTTTCATTCTTCTGTGAATGGCAATCCAATTTTTCCATTACCGTTTTTTGAAAACAGTGTCCTTTCCCCAGTGTATGTTTTTGTCAACTTTGTCAAAGATCAGTTGGCTATAGATACGAAACTTCATTTCTGGGTTCTCTTTTCTGTTCCACTGATTTATGTGTCTACTTTTATACCAGTACCATGCTGTTTTGGTTACTATAGCCTCATAGTATGATTTGAGGTCAGGTGATGTGATGCCTCCAGCTTTGTTCTTTTGCTTAGGATTACTTTGGCTATTTAGGCTCTTTTAGTTCCGTGTGAATTTTAAGATGATTTTTCTATTTCTGTGAAAAATGACATTGGTATTTTGGTAGAGATTGCATTCAGTCTGTAGATTGCTTTGGGCAGTGTGATCATTTTAATGATATTAAAGTTTTGATCCACGAGCATGGGATGTTTTTCCATTTGTGTCATCTACTTCATCAGTGTCATGTAGTTTTCCTTATAGAGATCTTTCACCTCTTTGGTTAAATGTATTCCTAGGTCCTTTTTTTTGTAGCTAAGGTAAATAGCATTGCCTTTGTGATTGGTTCTCAGCTTGATATTAGTGTATAGAAATGCCACTGATTTTTGTATCTTGATTTTATCTACTTAAACATTACCAAATTTGTTTATTAAATCTAAGGGTATTTGGGGAGGAGTCTTCAGGGTTTTCTCAATATAAGATTGTATCATTAGCAAACAGACATAATTTGACTTCCCCTTTTGCAATTTGGATGCCTCTTATTTTTTTTTCTCTTGCCTGATTGCTCTGGCTAGGACTTTCAGTAATGTATTGAATAGGAGTGGTGAAAGCAGGCATCTTTGTTTTGTTTTGGTTCTTAGGGGGAATGCTTTAAACATTTCCCCATTCAGTAGAACGTTGGCTGTGGGTTTGTTATAAATGGCCTTTATTATTTTGAGGTATGTTCCTTTTATAGTGAATCAGATTTTTTCCATGCCTGGCTAAATTTTTGTATTTTTAGTAGAGATGGGGTTTCGCTATGTTGGCCAGGCTGGTTTCAGACTCAAGTGATCTGCCTGCCTTGGCCTCCCAAAGGGCTGGAATAACAGGTGTGAGCCACTGCACCTGGCCCAGATTTTATTTTGTTAGAATCAAGGACATGGGAATGTGGTAGTCTTTATATTCCTGGATTAGAAAGTAAAAGGCAATAAAAACTTTTCACTGATTATTTATTCATTTATGTAATAAACATTAATTCCTGTATATGCAGCAGTGAACAATATAGATAGGATTCTTGGCTTGCTTTATCTTTTTGTTTCCTTATTTCCTATTTGGCATTTTGTTAGACTCCATGGCATTAGGATTTTCCTGGTTCTCTTGTGTCTACTTGGTTTTTGACTTACATTTTTTTCTTGTTTCATTTCATTTAGCTCTTCTCTGATCTTAGTTATTTCTTTTCTTCTGCTAGGTTTGGGTTTGGTTTGTTCTTGTTTCTCTAGTTCCTTGAGATGTGACCTTAGATTGTCTATTTGTGCTCTTTCAGACTTTTTGATGGAGGCATTTTATGCTATTAACTTTCCTTATAACTCAGCTTTTGCTGTATCCCAGAGGTTTGATAGGTTGTGTCACTAATATTGTTCAGTTCAAAGAATTTTTAAATTTCCATCTTGATTTCATTGTGGACCTAATGATTAACCAAAAGCAGGTTATTTAATTTCCCTGTATTTGCATGGTTTTGAAGGTTCCTTTTGGAGTTGATTTCCAGTTTATTCCACTGTGGTCTGAGAGAGTGCTTTATATAATTTTAATTTTCTTAAATTTGTTGAGACTTGTTTTGTGGCCCATCATCTGGGCTATCTTGGAGCATATTCCATGTGCTGATGAATAGAATACATGTTTTGCATTCGTTGGGTAGAATGTTCTGTAAATTTCCATTAGGTCAATTTTTTTCTGGAACATAGTTTAAGTCCATTGTTTCTTTGTTGACTTTCTGTCTTAATGACCTGTCTAGTGCTATCAGTCGACTATTGAAGTCCCCCACTACCGTTGCTGTCTATCTCATTTCTTACATCTGGTAGTAACTGTTTTATACATTTGGGAGCTCCAGTGTTAGGTGCATATATATTTAGGACTGTGATATTTTCCTGTCGGACTACTCCTATTGTTATATAATGTCCCTCTTTGTTTTGTCTGATATAAGAATAGCTACTCCTGCTTGCTTTTGGTGTTCATTTGCATGGAATATCTTTTTCCACTCCTTTTCCTTAGGTTTATGTGAGTCCTTAAGTGTCAGATGAGTCTCTTGAAAACAGCAGATACTTGGTTGGTTAATTCTTATCCATTCTGTCATTCTGTATCTTTTAAGTGGAGCATTTAGACCATTTACATTCAATGTTAGTATTGAGATGTAAGGTACTACTCTATTCATTGTGCTTTTTGTTGATTATTTTGTGTCTTTTTTTCCTTGTATTATTGTTTTATAGGTTCTATGAAATTTATGCTTTAAGGAGATTCTATTTTGGTGTATTTTGAGGATTTGTTTCAAGATTTAGAGCTCCTTTTAGCAACCAGTAGTGCTGCTTTCTTCTGGCTTGTAGGGTTTCTGCAGAGAGATCCACTGTTAGTCTGATGGGCTTCCCTTTGTGGGTAACCTGACCTTTCTCTCCAGCTGCCTTTAACATTTTTCCCTTCATTTCATCCTTGGTGAATCTGACGATTATGTGTCCTGGGGTTGCTCTTCTCAAGGAGTATTTTTGTGGTGTTCTCTGTATTTCCTGAATTTGAATGTTGGCTTGTCTTGCTAGGTTGGGGAAATTCTCCTGGGTAACATCCTGAAGAGTGTTCACACCATTTGTCACACCCATTCTCTATCCAGTTTTGTTCCCTGGCTGGCGAGGAGTTGTGATCCTTTGGAGGAGTAGAGGCATGCTTGTTTTTTGAATTTTCAGCCATTTTGCACTGGTTTTTACTCATCTTCATGGATTTATCTGTCTTTGGTCTTTGCTGTTGGTGATGTTTGGATGGGGTTTCCGTGTGGCCATCCTTTTTGTTGATGTTGATGTTATTCCTTTCTGTTTGTTTTCCTTCTAACAGTCAGGACCCGCTGCTGCAGGTCTGCTGGAGTTTGCTGGAGGTCCACTCCAGACCCTTGTTTTCCTGGGTATCACCAGTGGAGGCTTCAGAACAGCAAAGATTGCTGCCTGTTTCTTCCTCTGGAAGCTTTGTCCCAGATGGGCACCCACAAGATGAAGTGTCTGTTGACTGCCTGCTGGTAGGTGTCTCCCAGTCAAGCAGCATGGGGGTCAGGGACCCACTTCAGGAGGCCGTCTGTCCTTTAGCAGAGCTCAGGCACTGTGCTGGAAGATCTGCTGCTATCTTCAAAGCCAATAGGCAGGAATGTGTAAGTCTGCTGAAACTGTGCCACAGCTGCCCCTTCCCTCAGGTGCTGTGTCCCAGGGAGATAGGAGTATCTATAAGCCCCTGACTGGGGCTGCTGCCTTTCTTTCAGAGATGCCCTGCCTAGAAAGGAGGAATCTAGAGAGGTAGTCTGGCTACAGCTTTGTGGTACTATGGTGGGCTCTGCCTAATTCAAACTTCCTGGCAGCTTTGTTTATACTGTGAGGGGAAAGCCACCTATTCAATCCTCAGTAATGGTGGATGCCCCTCCCCACGCCAAGCTCCAGCATCCTGAGTTGACTGCAGACTGTTGTGCTGACAGTGAGAATTTCAAGCCAATGGATCTTAGCTTGCTGGGCTCTGTGGGGTAGGGATCTGCTGAGTGAGACCACTTGGCACCCTGAACGATTCTGTCTCACTGGCATTCCAGGTGCCACTAGGCTATGGAAAAAACTCCTGTAGCTAGCTCAGTGTCTGCCCAAATGGCTGCCCAGTTTTGTGCTTGAAACCCAGGCCCTGGTGGTATAGGCACCTGAGGGAATCTCCTGGCCTGTGGGTTGCTAAGACTGAAGGAAAAGCATAGTATCTGGGCTGGAATACACTGTCCTTCACAGCACAGTCCCTCATGGATTCCCTTGGCTATGGGAGGGAGTTCCCTGACCCCTTGTGCTTCCCAGTTGAGATGCCACCTCAACTGGGAAGCACAAGGGGTCAGGCTTGCCTTCTGTGGACTGTACCCACCGTCTAATCAGTCCCCGTGAGAGAAGCCAGGTACATCAGTTGGAAATGCAGAAATCACCCACCTTCTGCATTGATCTTGCTGGGAGCTGCAGACCAGAGCTGTTCCTATTAAGCCATCTTGCCAGCCACCTTGAATTGTGTTTTCTTTTTTTCTTTTTGTCAAGGCTAATTAAGGAATGTAATGGTTGGGGAGAATTTAAATTTAGCAGTAGGACACAGCTTTCAATATGTTTAATTTTTAAGGAAGAATCATTTATCTGAATATTTTCTTTTAAAAATTAAAAATATACTGAGCTCTATATTGTGACTCTAAAAATTTTAGAAAATGATAAAGTGATTTGGTGTTTAATTTATTTTAGTTAAATTGTTTTAAAATTATAGAATCTAAGATTCAGAAGTAGATGTCTTGGGGAGCCCCAGATTTGGTTTGCTAGTCAGGGCCATACTGAATATTTTCTTCTGACCATGTTCTTTCCAATTCATTTTATATGCTAAGGACTGTTAACACAAGAATATGCAATTCCTATGGAGAAATAAAAGACCAATGTTTTAACCACTATTATAAAGCTATTTTATAATAGTTGTTTATTTGTAGATAGATATTTAGAAAACCTCATGCTTATGTATGGTTATTTTCCCTTAGTAGGCTATTGGCACAAAATCAGCTCCTTTTCCAAGAAAAGCTCCTGATTCTCATGGTAAAATAATTTTTTTTTTTGTAGCATTCCAGAATGCCTTGAAGATTTTCTGTAGGATAAAACGTGGTCGAGTTTTAATTGATGAAGTGTTTGCTGTTTTGGATAGCATGGATATTCCTATAAACCCTGAAATTTTTGAAGAAGTGATAAAACATACCTATATTGACAGTGAGTTATTTGCATTGAGATATATATGTCAATATGTGTGCATATATTTATGTATTTTTTTTTTCTGGATATCAATTTTGTGATGTGTCCTTTGCTTCTCCTTTTTTCTCTTGATTTTTACCTTTTGCCATTTACACCATTTACTGGTGCCTATAGTAAGAAATAGTCTAGGAACATTAAATGAGAGTTTCTAAAATTGTTATATTTTGGTTTGTTTGGTAAAAGAGTAAAATGAATTTTTTAAAAATTCAGCCTTGTATCTCTTTTCCAACAGTAGTCATTTCTTGTCTTTGTGGAGAAGTAGTTTCTTGTAGTGTCAAGGGCATCAACTCTATAAATTAGAAGACCTAAATTTCTTGAATTCTCAATTTTATTATGTAGTTTTGATTAAACAGTTTCTATGCTCTTCAGTTAATCTCTGCACAATGTGGATTGCTTTAAACATTATAAAAATATTTAGCAGGTGTTTTGTATTACATGTTTACTTGTAACCAGAGGATGTCCTATAATAATTAGTGATGGATTGATTCATTCATTTGTTTTATTATTTTTAGAGACAGTGTCTCGCTATGTTGCCCAGGCTGTAGTGCAGTGTCATGATCACTGCTCACTGTAATCTTGACCTCCTAGACTCAATGATCCTCCCACCTCATATTCCTGAATAGCTAGGACTATAGGTGTGTGCCGTCATGCCAGCCTAGTTAATTTTTTTTTTTTTTTTTTTGGTAGAGACGAGGTCTTACTATGTTTCCCAGGCTGATCTCGAACTCCTAGCTTCAAGTGATACTCCTGCCTCAGCCTGCTGAGCGCTGGAATTACAGGCATGAGCCACTGGGCTCAGCCTGATTCATTCATTTAATTAATATCAGATAGTCATTTAAATCTACTATGCCTCGAACTGTTCTAGGTGATGCAAAGTTGAATAAAACACACTCTTTTTTGAGGTAGTTCACATTCAAGTGTGGAAAGAGTCAAGTAAACAGAAAATTAAAATGCTCAATGGCAAATACTATAGTAGAGTGTATGTAGGCTGCTAATACATACTGAAAGCCTTAGGGAAAGATTATCCAAGAGATTGATGTCTGAGCTAAATCTTGAAGGATCGGTGTGAATTAAGTAGTTGAAGGTAGCAGTGAAGAGTGAGAAAAACATCTTAAGCCAAAGGAACAGCTTGTGTAAATATGACAGAAAAATAATCAGACATGACATCTCTTTGAGTGAGTTTCCACTGGTTTTTGTCATTTATTAATGGTGGTTTTGTAGTGGGCTTTTGGCTGCTTAAATGTGGTCTGGAGATAGAACAAGGCCTCATGGAGTTCTATTAGGAAGTCAGATATGGTGAGCTCTGGGGTGAAGCATGAATGGAAGGATATGACGGGGTATGAAATGTAAAATGGGGATTTTAAAGACTAATCTTAAGCCTTTAGGGCATACCCTACCAGGAACAACAGAAATCATATGAAACAGCTGCAGTACCTTGCTTTTTGGCTTATGGAGTTCTGGTCTGGGTCTCCAAGTCTCCTGCATTATTTGGGGAGGTAGATTGGAAAAAGGATACTAATTTTATAGGATTATTATAGGAATTAAATATAAACATTTATCACAGTGCCTGGCACTTAGACACAAGAAAGGTAAGGCAGAAACCTGAGAGTCATCCTTGAAAACTCTATTTCTCTATTCCTTGTGCAACCTAAAGTCTTAGATATATCTTTTTAAAAACATTTTCCCACCTGTGTGGGCTGCAGTGGAGGGAACCTAGCAGAAGTGCATGCCTGCGGGCAGGCATGGGTGTGTGTATGATGGTGTAATGAGGAATCTTGAGATCATCCTGGATGACCAAGGTAGGCCCTAAATTCAGTGGCAAGTGTCCTCACAAGAGGCAGAAGACATAGACACGGAGAGGAGACCAGGTGAAAACAAAAGAAGAAGCTGGAGTGATACAATGATCAGGGAAATGGAGAAATCTTAGAATCAGGAAAAGAAGAGGGGAACGATCCAAGATGGCCTAATAGGAACAGCTCCGGAGTGCAATTCCCAAAGAGAACAATGCAGAGGGTGAGTGATCACCAGATTTCCAAACGAGTTTTTACTGCATACAGACCAGGAGATTCCAGGGCTGAAAAGTGCCACAAGTTTCCAGCACAGCTGTTTCAGCTGACACCGCAGGTCTCCCCCAAAAATTCACACAAATCTGAGCGGCCCTTTCAACTGGTGCCTGGAATGCCTGAGAGACAGAGCCACCCATTCAACTGAAAAAAAGGGGGCTGAAACAGGGAGCCAGGTGGTCTGGCTCAGTGGGTCCCACCCCAACAAAGACCAGTAATCTGAAACACTCTGGATTGAGAGTTTCACAGCAAGTGCAACTGGACCCAAGACAGTCCAGCTTGGTGGGGGGAAGGGCGTCAGCCATTACCAAGGCAGTCCACCACTACTGAGACAGTCAGCCATTACCAAGGCAGTCCGCCATTACCAAGGTAATCCGCCCTTACTGAGGCAGACTGCCATTACTGAGGCAGTTCTAACTGTACCTCTGTAAACAAAACCACAAGGAAGTTCACACAGCAGCTGGGCAGAGCCACAGCAGCTCAGCAATGCCTCTGCTGACAGACTGTGACCAGACTACCTCCTTGCTAGGCAGGGCATCTCTGATAAAAGGCAGCAGCACATCAGAAACATATAAATAAAGCACCACCTTCCCAGGACAGAGCACCTGGGAAAAGAGGCGGTTATGAGTTCCACTGCAGCAGACCTAAATGTACCTGCCCAGCAGCTCTGAATGGCACAACGGAGCTCCCAGCTCAGCACTTGAGCTCCTATAAGGGACAGACTGTCTCCTCAAGCAGCTCCCTGACCACCATATAGCCAAAGAGACACCTCATAAAGGAGAGCTCAGGCTGACATCTGGAGGGTACCCTTCTGGGATGAAGATAACAGAAGAAGAAACTGGCAGCAACTCTTACTGTTCCGAAGCCCCCATGGGTGATCCCCAGGCAAGCAAGGTCTGGAGTGGAACTCCAGCAGACCTACAGTAGAGGGGCCTGACTGTTAGGAAAAAAACAAAACAAACAAACAAACAAAAAAACCTAAAAAACAGAAAGAAATAACTTCGACATCAACAAAAAGGACATCCACTCAGAGAGCCCGTCTGAAACTCACCAACTACAAAGACCACAGGTAGATAAATACATGAAGATGGAGAGAAACCAGCAAAAAAAGGATGAAAACACCCAAAACCAGAAGGCCTTTCCTCCTCCAAGGGATCACAACTCCTCAACAGCAAGGGAACAAAGCTGGATGGAGAATTAGTCTGATGAATTGACAGAAACAGGCTTTAGAAGGTGGGTAATAACAAACTTCTCTGAGCTAAAAGA